ACCTTTTCCTTTTAAAACTACTTTTTGACCAGGTTGAGTTCCTGCACGAACCTGCATGCATATAAGAAAATCAAATTTTATTTCATAATTTATAATAAATAAAGTATGTCGTTATGAAAATATTAACTAATGATTTAAAAAAAAAATCATAGAAATAACCTTAAGAACAACATCTCCTGTTAATGTTGGCACCTGAATCGTCCCTCCCAAAACAGCCTGCAAAACAATTTAATTTTTTTTTTAAAAACACTCATCATGGAATAGAGTTAATTAATAGCATAAGTTGGTGATTTTTACAAAAAAAATAATAATAATAATATAAAGAAATAAATTACCTGGGTGATATTCAGGAGAGCATCTACATGAATGTTTGGCCCTTCTCGTCGAAATACAGGATCTTCTCGCACCTAAAAAGTTATCATATTACAGTAATTCATAAAATAAAATACTATTTCAAGTTTAAGCCATTCTAGTTTGTATTTGTATTATTCATATTATACACACAAATAATAATAAATGAAAAAAAAAAATACCTTGATAACAACGTAAAGATCGCCAGGCTGGTTGCCATCTGGATCTGCTCCACCACTTCTGGACATCCTTAATTCTTCATTTGTATCGACTCCTAAAAATATAAATATTCCAACCAAACATATATTATAACACATTCATCCTTTTTAGTAGCAGAATTATTTTATTATAATTTATTATATAAACCACAAAAAACCTGGCATTATGTTTAACTTCACAGACTTGGGTCCTCTCACCACCCTCTGCCCATTGCATGACTTGCATAAGTTCTGTCACTCAACAAAACAAAAAGAATCATAATTCAGAAATGAAATAGAGTTAGAGCGTAGAGCAAAATGACAAATTTACCCACATCACATCACATACCTTGACATATTTACCACTTCCGCCACACTGAGTGCAAGTCACCTGGATTCTAAATGGACCAGTTTGACTGATTGTCTGCAAAACCACATGACATGTCAGCCACCTAGATATTTATTTTATTAGAATTAATAAAGAAAAATATTTATATTTTATACCCACCATGCCTGCTCCTTTACACCTCCGACATGTCTCTGGCTTTGTTCCAGGAGGAACACCACTTCCACCTGCCAATCACCATTCACCATTCACCAAACCAAAACAATATATAAAAAGACAATTAATTCATATATTAAAAAAAAAAAAAAAAAAAGTGTATGATATTCTTAGTCATACCACAAGTTTCACAAGGCAGCTCGGTCTGAAAGACTACATTTTTGGTGCATCCTTGAACAGCTTCCATGAATGAAAGCTCAAGGGATACCTGTACATGTCATGACATGATCAAACAAAATTTAAGACATCACATCATATGTTTTTATTTTTCTTAAAAAAAAAAAAAAAAAAAAAAAAAACAGAAAAGACCTTAACGTCCTTGCCAGTGAAGTTGCGAGCAAATGGGCCAAACCCAAAAATCTGAATCCACCAACATCAACACGCAAAGAGAAGAATTAAAAGTTAAAAGTTATATTATATTATATAAACGAAGAAGAAGGGTAGAAAAGTCATTTGACAGAAATTAGGTATAAAATAAAAACTGACATCGCCGAGGTCTTGAAATGGATTGCGCCAATGGCCAGCATCAGGACCAGCTCCACCACTAGCACTTGCTTCAAAAGTCTCGTGTCCAAGCTAATAATATTATATATACATGAATCCATCCAATTAGAAATTAGAAAAACATAATAGATAAACAAATTATTTAACAATATAATACCTGATCATATTGTGCTCGTTTCTCCTCATCTTTCAGGACCTGTTTGTTTAAGAATTAAGATAGTGAAACAGTTTGTTCAACCAATATTATTATATAGCAATAACCTAAAACAACAGTTGAAATAGACATGACATGCATCTTAGTAGTTAGTTAGTGTACCTCATATGCCTTTGATACTTCTTGAAACCTTGTTTCTGCTTCTGGATCATCTTTATTTGCATCTGGATGCCACTTCTTGGCAAGCTACAAGTTCCAAATACCACAGGATAATAAGTTAATGCTACAAAGTAACACAAGGACAATGTCCATTCATGTAAAAAAGATTTGTATTTGTATAAATAAGAATTAAAAAGAAGAGAAAAGATAGGAACCCCATAATAGGCTTTCTTGATTTCTGATGCGGTTGCATTCTTATTGACTCCAAGTGTATCATAATAATCTTTTGAAGCCATGCGTGCTGCTGCTCAACATAACAACCTCCAAAGGTCAAGCAAGCTACAAAATGTTCAAAATCTTGCACAGAGTGTATAAAATGTTTGTGACATGATAGCTGAATATGATATGAGATAATGAGATCACAATTGAATATGCCTTCTCTGAATCAATTTCTGTTTTCCTTTTTCCAGAGTTATTCTTTTCCAGATTATTGAGATAATCACTCAGCCATTAATTAAATCTTCAATCCTGAGTAATTGTTTAGTTGTGAATTGATCCTCATACAAGGGTTAATTTGCATCAGAAGGTTTTAATTAAATGATGACAAGTGGCAAGTGCAATGGGGACCCAGTGAGTCTTTAAACCAGAAAAACAAGTTAATTTTGAATTTTGAGACATTTAGTTGTGGCTTAGCCAATCTTTAACATCTTTTCAGATAAGGGGGATTTTCTCAGTTGTTTTTAATAAATTGAGAATATTTTCATTACACTTAAATAGGTATCCAGTTTGGTGTTGATTGATTGTAAAGTTGTAATTAATCGAATCATTGTTTTAATTTTCTCAAATTTGATTCATGTTTCATCTACTTCTTGGCATTTGTATTGCTTTAAATGTTCCTTTTGTCTAATTCGGGGATTTGTTTTTTGCTTGTGAAATATTTTGAACCAATTTGAGGATTGTGACTTTCTTTGTTCTTTAATGCTTATGGTCTTGCATTGATCTACCCTTTAAATTCCATTAGTTTTGTGACTTTCATGCATCTACCTAGGATAAAACTGGCCTCTAATTGAATGATTTTACATTTAGTAAAGTTAAAAAAAGTTGTTTGGGACAAAACAAAAAACTTTCTACTATAAAAAGTTTTGGGGTGATATCATATTTCTTTCTAAGGACCTGACCTCATATAGGAAGGAGTCCAGGCTTAAAACTAGGGTAATGGAGTAGTAAGGTTCTTAGTTACTAAGTTTATCTCAGAATTGTTAGAAAAAATTGAATTTTCCAAAAGAGCTGTTGTATCCTGTTTTTTGGCATGAATATACAGTTTCCTTCTGTCTCTAAACTCTCACCTCTCTCTTCCTCATATTTTCATGTTTTCTATCTCATTTCTCTACTTAGTACTGAAAAGACAGCCAGAGCAAACTTAACCTATATACCCCTTATTACAATCATTTATTGGGCCATACTATAAGTCTATGTCTACTGAACTCCCTCATGTCACTACCAGCAAAAAAGGTTCATAATTTGATACATAGCCAGAATTTGACACAAACTAAAAGAAAGCTATCCACTGCTTTCATCATCAAATAAGAACAGTTTGTATGGGATTTTAAATTCAAGATAAAAAAAATTGAACAGCTATGGTGAATAGAAAGAAATTATCTAACTTCAAACACTAACAAAAAGTAGAGGAATTGGGACATACAAGTGCCATGAATCGATCTGATGTTGCCATAGTGTGCGTTAATCGTCCCAAGACCTGACCAATATCTCGAATTGACAACTGCGAGAAAAAACCGGCCCTCCATCAGTGATATATACAACACACAAGCTCCAAAAAGAAAATTTTGCAGAAGAAAAAAAAAAAAAAAAAAAAAAAGAAAGAAACTTGTTTTATCGTGAGATTTACCGTTTTTGTTATTGTAACAGTTAGAAATCTTGTAATGGCCATGAATTGATGAGCCAAACTTCCTATAACCTCTTCTAGCCAGCGACTCATACAACTGCACCACAATCACATAACACCCATGATTAAAAATATTTACAAACAAATACACAGACGACCAAATTAACATATTAAATAAATATATACGCCGAAAATGATTGTCATGCATAATCATCTGATAGAGAAACAGAGTTCATACGGGATCGTTGGAGAGGGAGCGGCGAGCAAGCCATGACAAAAGTTTAATGCCGTTGGAACGAACCATTTGTTGTCTGTAAATTTGTGGAAACCAGATTGAAATTCGAAGTATTTTCGTGTACGAAGGGGAACTATGGTAAACCCTAAAAAAACCCTAATTGCAGGAATCAAATTGATTTGCAAACCTGGAAGCTTCTAGGGCCAGTTTCAGTAGCCTTCTGTTTTCCCCCAATATTTAAGGAGGGTCCGTTTAGTAAATAAGCGAAACTAATAGTACATTCTTATGTTATTTTAAAAGACGACCCTTCATTTTTCACAATTATTTAAAATAAGCCCTCACATTTTCTTGCTCTCTATATCTTATAATTTCCGTGGCTTCTTCGTAGCCACCTCTCTTGTGAAGTTGTGACTTGTGATTTGGAATGCATTGTGTTTCTCTCTCGTAGAACTATGCATGACTATTTACATAAGAAACACATCCAAAGTTACCATTTTTTTCATTTTTTTATAATTTTTTAAAATAGACCATCACTTTGATAATGTTTTTTTCAATATCGACCATTTTGCTAGTTGTCCAACCCTCCGAGTTGGATGTGTTTCGTAAATCCACACATGCTCCATTAAAGGCTCATAAATAAATGATCTGTGTTTCTATGAGTTAGCATACAAGTTCATATTTTTCCTAAATAACTATAGTGGGGTTTTTTTATGTTCTTGTGCTTTATGTTATACTTTTAACGAGATTTATGTCCTGGTAGAACCCTTTCAACTAACGACAATCCACCACATAAAAAGGTGTGAGTGAAAAATGGAGAGAAGTGGTCGTTAGAGGAGCATTATGATCTGTTAGCAGAGGAGAAAGTGTCTTTGGATGACCAAGTGGCTACTTTGGATGGGTCGGTGGAACGTTTTTTTCAACGGATCGAGGTGTTAATGGAGGAGAAGAGGAGAGTGCTAGAGAGCCAAGCGGATTGCACTAACAAGAGGTTGGAAGAGGAGATTGCAAGGAGGAAGGTTGCGGAGGAGGAACTGGGATGGTTGCTTCAGAAAGGCATTGTTCGAGTGGTAGATAAGGTTGTTGAGAGTATTAAGTTTGTGTTGGGGGGTTAAGTGGATGAAGATGGCATGTGTGGCTGCCGGTGTGGAGAATGGTAAACAAGTGATCCGGGAGCAGATTGTCGTCAGAAAGTTTGTCTCCGAGGAACCGGACGTTACTACGGAGCATGCTTAGGCAATGCTTGCTGGTATAAAATCTTTCATGGAGCCGGACTTTGCCTCCTACCTTCGCCTAGGTGAGTTGGACATATGGGGCCTTCGTCAGATGTGTGATGATCTAGACTCCGAAGAAGGTCATCTTGAAGGTAGTGCTTCTCATGTTGGACCTTCTTCCACCCCTCAGTAAGTGATGGCTTTTACCCTTTGTTGATGTTTAATGTTTAAGATAATATTTTCGTCTTCATGGTGTTTATCGAACAATTTTTGGGACAATGTCTGTTTTTCTTCTTTGACCCTGCATAGTCATTATCAAATCGGGGGAGGGGTGTTCGGTTTAAACAATATGTGTTTTTGTTTATTGTATGTTAAGTTTGCTTTGAGTTCATCGTGTTCTCTCCCCCCCCCTTTTGTCGTCTTAGGTGGTTTGTGTTGGCCAGCCTGGGTTTGGAGTCTCCCCAGATGTTAGTGTTGGCCTTTGGGGGTCTTGGTCATGATTATTGTTTGTTTAACAAGTTTGGGGGTGTCTATTTTTTTTTTTTTGCACTTGATCGTGTGGATGTTAGTTATTGTTGTGTGTCGTTTTCTTAGGATGTGCGTAGTAGCCCAAGCGACAATTACCCAAAGTGGTTTTGCATGTGTGTTTAGGGGTGTTACTGTCGCTAAGCCATCCTTTGTTCTGAACTTTACTATACCATGTATTGTTGACGACATGGCTTGTAGCCGGAAGAGGGCAGGTCGCCCCAGGATCATATCGTCTTCTGACTTATGTTTAACTACTAAGAACTCGATTATTCTTGTTACCCTTTCCTTTCCATCATGGCTGAGTAATGTCAACGGGAGGTTTATGGTCCTGAGTGGCCATAGTTTGTGTCCCGTGAAGCCAACGAGTGGGGCTCGGGTTGGTGGTCTTAGGCTTCTCTTCCAGGATGACAGGAGTCGCTCGAGGCAGTACTCGTATAGGATGTCGGTGCTGCTACCTCCGTCGGCCAGGACTCACCAGATCTAATGTTGTTGTACGAGGGCGGGGATTATGATTGGATCTGTGGGGTCTCAGTTGGGCGCTCGTGAGTCTTTCGATGAGAAACTTATGTTGAGACTATCATCGGGTAAGCCGTTGACTTCATTGGCGGACAGTCAACGCCTGGCTCTGTTCCTGGGGCTTGCGATTGTGAAGATTTCTTCCTTTTTGATTGGTTGTTTATCCGTCTCCTTCTGGGTTCTCCTGTCTTTCCTTTCGGCTTCGAACTTTAACCGTAGAGCCTTCGCGATTTCGGTTAAGTCTCCACTCAGTCACTTGTCTTCTACTTCTTTTTTTAGGATTTTGCACTTTTCGGTGTCGTGAGTTTTGCTCTTGTAGTATTCGCAATATTTGCTTTTCTCTTTTTCTGTCCGTTGAGGGGTTTTTTCCACCGCGTGCACTTCCATCTTGTGGCTCTTGGGCTCATCCTTGACAAACTGGTAGAATCTACAAGATTAGTGTCTCGAATGTATGTTACGCTTATCATGGCTTCCATCGTTTCGCTCCTTATGGATATGGCGGTAGTGGGAGCTAGCTGCTATAGCTTTTAGATTGGTATGTTTGCATTCTTCTCCCTCGATCCGCCTGAGGTATTTTCCGACCCTGTATTTGAGCTCATCCTAGATTTTGGCACTGTTCCCTGTAGTTTCCTTGACAATGGGCCTGGGAGTAGCCCTTGGGCGAAGGCGCCCGTGACTAAAAATTCCTTGTGGTCGGGGACGCTCAAGGGTCGCGAGGGTAAACCGAACATAATATGCGTGGATTGTGTAATACCCTGTTTATTTATTTGATAAATAAATAAATTAATGAACGAATAGTAGCTTTAAAATAAATAATTATATAGCAAGGTGTTGGTCTCGGTGAGCTGTTGGTCACAATTTTAGAAGTCGGGGATTAAAAGTGTAAGTTCCAGACTAAGTTTATAATTATTTATGAAGATAGGGAACACTTGGTAAATTATTGGGACTTCATTTGAAAATAATTGTAGAGGAGGGACTGTTTTAGTAAAATTCGGACCTACTTTGTAATGTATTTAGATGGTAGGGGTTAAAAAGGTAAAATGTGGATTACATTTGAAAAAGGGGCATGGAGGGACCAGAGTTGCCAAATTCGTTAAAAGTTTGAATGGGGTCACTGGACTTAAACTCGTGCCTTCCATTCCCGTTGGAGACTATTTCATTGAGCAACCCTAAATCTAATACACTTCTATAGTCGCCACCACGATATGAGAGTTCCCCCAGCCGCCGTTGCATCCCAGGATCCGATCGCCACCTGTTGCCGTCCGCTACTCCGCTGTCGAGGTCGCAAATCGCCGGAGGAGCACCAGAATAGTCCAGCGTCGTGTTGCTCCAAGCCGCCAGCGAAGCTGTGAACCGCAAGATCCGACGGCCGTCTGCGGCCTTGCCCTTGAAGCGCCATCGTAGCCCTAGCTGTCAGAGTTGATGTGGTAGGACGGAAGAAAGACCATGGCAAACACCAAGGTGGTTGAAGACGACATCAAGCCCGTGTGCCGCCACTCTTGGCGTGCCTACGCATTTTTTTGCCGCTACAATGTCACCACCATCTCCTTTCCGGGTGGCTGTAGCTGGTGACATCCTCCTCCGATCGCCTTATGCCACCACGAAGTGCCTGTTTGCGCAACCACCACCTACCGTGACAAGATTTCCGTTGGGGGTGTGTTTCTTTCGTGTTTCAGCCCATATGGTTGTGTGTTTTGTGTTGTTGATCAGGTGGGGGTGCGTTTTTTTGGATGGAACCATGGAAAAACCACCATGGCTGCCAACCATGGTGGCTGCCACCCTTTACCACCACCGGCCACCATAAGGTGGTTGTGTATGTGTTTATTTGGTTTAGTGTGTGTGTTTATTTTGAGATTTATCATTGTAAAGTGTAAGTTACAAATTGGAATAACGAAAGGAAAAATCAAACCACCACCGGCCGCCTTGTCGGGTGGCGGTGTGCTTGCCTCGTTGAGTTCAATTCGTTTAGGGTGTTTGAAACCCTAATGGGCCCAATAAAACCTTAATGGGCTTAATAATATTCTAGTGGGCTTAATAGGCCCAATAAAGCCCTAATTGATCTAAAAGCCCAACAAATTAATTAATGGGCTAGTATTGGGTTAGAAACCTTAATTAGGGTTTGGAAAACCCTAATGCCAATGAAACGCTAACTTTAAGAATTAATCGGGTCACACACACAAGAATTATTTAATAACTTGAGATATTAAGTAATAAACTTTGGCAAATATTAATCTAGGCGATAATGGACTTAATGGATTAAGTCCTTAATAGATTAAGTCCTTAATGGGTTAAGTAGGAAACTTAACCCTAATCATCATTTTATGTGAAACCCTAATTTTACTTGGGTTTATTGTTGGGCCTTGATGATTGGGTTATTAAATGGACTATCCAAGATCAAGCAAATGGTCTAGAGTAACTTAATGGGCCTAGGGTAAGGCCCATGTGAGGGGCTTGGGCCTAATTTGGAAAATTAGGCCATAGATGGGCCATAGTTTGGGCCTTAATGATTATATGATGTTGGGCCTCAGAATGAGACCATGTATAGGCCTAGGCCCAATTTGGAAAATTGGGCCATGTGTTGGGCTTTGATTCCTAATTGGCCTTGGGCTTACGGATTGGGCCTTGGGCTTGAATAAGCCAAGCGAGGGGTAATGTAGTAATTACCCAAAGAATGTACGTATGATTATGTGTTGGGACCCAATTATTAATTGGGTGTTATTTTTGTGTTGATAATTCGAGAATCTGTCATCTAGCAGCTGGGGTGAAGTCTGCGGGACTTCAGCAATGTGGGGTTATGTCTGCGGGACTTCAACAGTATGAGGTGAGTTACCTTCCAGTAGCGGTGGGTCTAAGGTCACAATGCCGGCCCACCAGTAGGAGATGTATGATAGATGATTGTCTTTGTGGTATTATCTAGGTTTGCTACTACATGATATGTTATATGCTAGCATGATATGTTGTATGTGATAGTAGTAGAGTTCGGTTGTTAGGACCGAAGGGTAGTCAGACACTCCAGATACGTCTGACAATATGTGATGATATGTTTGCATGCTAGTTTGTTATGTTATATGCGATAGAGGTAGTAGGAGGGGACCAGTCCCCGAGTTCGGTTGTTAGGACCGAAGGGTAGTTCAGGCACCCCATATATGTCTGATATTATGTTTGTGTTATGTTATATGTGATAGTTGTAGTAGGGGGTGAAATAGTCCCCGAGGTTCGGTTGTTAGGACCGAAGGGTAGTCAGCACCCCAGAATAGCTCGACATGGGTAGGTCAGCGCCCCATAATGGCTTGACACGGGAAGGACGGCACCCCAAAATGGCCGCATGGGTAGGTCGGCACCCCATAATGGCCGTATTGGGTAGGTCGGGAACCCCAGAAATGCCTGACAATATGTATGTGATATGATTGTATGGTATGTGGTATGATGGGGGAACTCACTGAGCTTTATGCTTACGGTTTTCAGTTTTGGTTTCAGGTACTTCGTGTCTAAAGGAAAGGAGTCGGCTTGATCGCAGCGCATCACACTATGGTTTTCCGCACATGAAATCTTTGGGATTACACTCTGATATTGTTTTATGATAACTTGTTTAATTATTTCTACTTTGGTTCTGACATGACATGACATTACAAATGTTTTATTACATTGTTGGTTTTATAATGACGTATTTAAAAGTGAAATTTTTGTCCTGTATTTTTGGGATGTTACGTATTGATTCTCCCTCTTTTTGCTTGCATGCCATGATAGAGTTGGCATCTCCTTTGACTTTCCTCAATTGCATGAAATTGTGGAGGAAAAGGTACATCAATTGTTCAAAGCTGGAGATACTTCCCGGACATAGTGCCTTGAACCATTTGCTAGCATTTCTCGGTAGTGTGATCGGGAAGTAGGTGCAGGTAAATCTCTTGTCCATCCGAATGGATGTCATTATTCACTCGTAGGTGTCTATGTGTTCATCAGGATCCATCGTAATGTCATACTTTGGGATGGTTGGTATCATGGCGGAATGCGGTATTTCATATTGTAATAGTTATTGGCAGAACGTCGATCTAATACTTGTTACGGGGGTGTTCGTATGTGGGTAGTTGAGTGCTCCATTGTCCATCGCTTGTTGCACGTGATATGGGTTGTTGTACCCTTGGTCGTACTCGTAATGGTACTCGCGGTTGTACATGGTCGCTTGAGGCATATACAATGCCTATGTGGGGTATGTGTGCATTAGCTTATTCGGTTGCGAACTTGACTCTGTTAGCCCCGCAGTGTGTGCGTTTATCCTCTGTGTTGGCGTGCTTTGAATGTTGTGGGTTTGTGTCTGTGTTGAGGGTACACACCTTGGTAATGGTATGAATATGGGTTGAACGGTGGTTGCTAGGAGAATAGTGGGATATGCAACATGGCGGCCATTGGGGAAGACCGGTGGCCTGCAAGTGGTGTGGATGATAGAATGGTGTCGGGGGACCGAACGCTGGTCCCAGCCTGCCGTGTCGATGGTTGTAGTCGACTTGTTGTTTGTTGTTATAGGATAGTCGGTGCTCTTTGAGTCGTTCTAGTGGTAGTCGTGGCCAGATGTTCCGTTGCGACGGGCGACGGTCACCATAGACTAGCAATGAACACCACTGTGGAGCCGACTGGCGGCGATGTCGGTGCCTATGTGAGTAGTTGCCCCTCTTGTGTTGACGGACCGCTTCCGTTAAGGGATTGCATTGGTCTAACTGGGATGTTTTCGTCACCTTCCTGCCATATCGGTCCTTTATCCGTCATTTTTGGCGCCTGATGTTGCAAAATGGGTTGTGTCGTACTGGGTGCACGTCCGAATGACGCCAACTGTTGTGATATGTCACGGGCTTGATTTCGTCTCTTTGGAGAATAGAATGAAAACATGAGAATCACAACAAAGAAAACAAGATCGTCAGTCGTCATCTGGGAGGCAGTCCCGGAACGAGGCTCCGACGATCAAGTCAGGTGGTTTCTTAGAGAGAAGGTTAAGAGAGTTTGGGTAAAAATGAAAGGGGCGAGAATTTTTGATCCCTTCTTTTGGAGGATAAGGGACCCTTTTATACGTTTGTTCGAGGGGACAAATCCCCAACAGTACCTTCTACTTTTTTTAGGTTTGGCTGGGACAGGTGGCTTTCGATTGGTAGATTGTGCTCCATGAGTGGTTGTTTGTTATTGGTGTAGTTTTGCCAGGAGTGGCGCCCTAAGCGCTACACCTGTCGCTCTAGGAGGCAATTAGTACTATTTTTTCATGACATTGACCTTGGCGCTTGGGCACCACTGAATGAATATAGGATTGCGAGGACGAGGGCGAGGATGCGGTGTTAGACATACACTGTCCTTTTCCCAATCCGTCTATCAGACTGACGTTTTTGTCATGTCTGACGTATTCCTAGTGGGATACATTATCATTTCCACATTTGTGGCATCCAGAAGTAGATCGAAAAGGACCCTCATGAGCCTTGTCGCACTTACCACAAATGCGGATCTTCTGACTCCCATATCTCACATCAGCGGACTTGAACCTCTTTGCCTCAGGTTGCAAATGCATAGGGGCCTACCTCAGCTCCCTCGTCTAGAGCTCCATCTTAATATCACGCCGCCTCGTGGCCTCCTGCAACTCAATGAGTGAATCATATCGTTGATTGGACACAAACTGGTAGATATTTGTCTTGATCAAGCTCAAGTATTGGGTCATACGAGCTTGCTCAGAAGTAGCAAACTTAGTGTAGAACAACACTCCATCAGTGAACATCTTGGTGATTTCAATCACCGACTCCGTCCCCTACCTCAGGTCTAGATACTCTTGGGTTAATCTATTTCTCCCTCTCTCTCCACCAAAGGGACGTATCTTGAACGAAACATCTCAGAGAACTGCTCCCAAGATACAACAACCCTCTGCTCTAGAGTGTATGAACCAGTAACTAGCCTCCATCAATCCTTCGCTCCTGACCGAAGAAGGTTTAGAGCGCACTTGACCTTCTCATCAGTTGGGCAGGAGCACGTAAAGAAACATCCCTCAACGTCAGATAGCCACCTCATGGAAATGATTGGATCCTAAACCCCATCAAACACAGGGGGGTTCGTATTGTCGAAGTCCTGGTACCAGAATGCTTTCCCCCCACCAATCCCTACAATAGCAGAAACCTCAGAAAGTGCAACATATCGATCATCAAAGAACTCCATCATAGCGGTCTTGATAGACCCAAATAACTCCGGTATCTACACCCAGACAATAGAAACAACCTCAGCAAGAATCATCTCCCTAACCTGGTCCTCAGTCAACCCTGGCCTATCCTGGCCACCCATTCCGGTTCGTACTCTATATCCCCTCATGAACACCATACTGAAAATAAACCAGAAAGATATCAGAAGAAACGCATATCACACCATAGGAGCCAATTCACAACAAGACCCTAAGGGTTGTGACTTCCTTGCTATGCATATGGGAAGGTAGTATGGCTTCCAGTTGTACGGGCCTATACTACCTTCCGTACTTACCCGTATTTATCTCAAAAGATCATCACAACAACCCTAATAGCACATACTAGATCCCCTCATGAACACCATACTGAAAATAA